CCTGCGAAGTACTCTCCATTTGCTGCAATGCATAGTGAGACCTTTTCCCCACTGCTCGGAGCAGTTTTTGAACTCATCGATTTTGATGCCTTTCGGTGCTTCTGCTGTTTTTTGTTTCCCTTCTCCCACATGAGCAAAGTGTTTCTCTTTGAGGACTTTTTTCATCTGGGGAGACCTAAAGAAGTTGCTGGGGGAAAGACTGGGTAAATAGCGGGGATGGGGCATGGGGCTCATACTGTTTTTGGTCAAAAACTGCTGAACGCTCAGTGTGGTGTGGGCAGGTGTGCTCACAGATCACCCATCATGAAATGAATGGACATTGAAAGAGTCTTCAAAAATAATTCACTGAAGCCGAACACAGCCTCTCACAACAATGCCAGCTGGTACGCTGATACAGATGGGTTCCTAGAGCACTCATCTAGCGGGGGAAGCCTGTATTAAGAGGTAGTCCCCCAGAAGGTAATTTTATTTTCTGGGATCCCCCCTCATATTCTTTATATTTCTTTGATTACTTTATCTTTACATGTTAGTGAAACAAATCTTTCTTTTCCTGGGATGACTTGTGCAAGTGAATCAGCTTTCTGACTACAAAATATCCAGAAGAGCAAGTTAAGAATCAAGGCAACAAAACAGTATTCAAGGTAGGTTCATTCACTGAAGTTCTACAGGGGCAAGCTTTGGAATTATTTTCAAGAAGAAAGCTATTTTTTTCCATTTTTTCCATATTTTTTATTGTTGTTCAAGTACAGTTGTTTCCATCCCCCCACCACTCCTCCCTAACCCCATCAGCCATCCCCACTTCACACCCTTGATCCTACCCCGCTTTGGCTTTGCCGCATGTGTCCTTTATACATGTTCCTCGAAACCGTCCCCCCCTCCCCCACCAACCATTATCCCCTCCCACCTCCTCTCTGGTCACTGTCAGTTTGTTCTTAATTTCAATGTCTCTGCTTATATTTTGCTTGCTTGTTTGTTTTGTTGAAGAGCTGTTTTCATACTAGATAGCCCCCATATACATTGTTCTCTTAATTTTTATTTCTACTTATTTATAAATGTGAAATCCTTATATTTATAGGCCCCTTGCAGTGACACCTTGATTTTGAAATAAATACAGTAGCAGATGGAAGAGGAATCAGGGATCAAACCTTATTAACATCTACTGAGTTTCCCCTACCCCCGGGCCCCCCCCCCCCCTCCACCCACAGTTGAAAGGAGTGACAGTGAATATGAGACTCTTCTAAAGCCTCCAAAAGGTCATGTGTTCTTCATTGAAGAGCCCTGACAAATGCACGTGAATCAGCCGGAGAATAATCTAACCCCTGGCGACAGAGTGCTGGAGCTCGGATCTTGCCACCAAGCGTCTCTCGCAAAGGCTTCTTTCATTGGCCGCCCAGTCTGGCCACCTGCTAAACTGCCCTCTCCTCTCCAGGGCCTCTAAGCTCCTCACAGGCTGCCTGGGCCGGAGGTGGAAAACTGAAGTCGGCCCACATTATGGTTCATTTTCTCACTGTGAATTTTTTTTAGATCTTAACTCTACAGCGTTGCTTTGCTTTTTATTAGAAACACGTACCTGTTCTCTCTCCACGCCCCTCCACGCTCCTCCCGTCCCTTCCAGAATCCAGCTCTGGGTGAGCACCAGGGGGAGGAGTCTGCAGACAAGAGCAGGGAGGCGTGTATAGGACTCTATAGGACTCGAGGCCGTGGGCCTGATCCTGGTCCGGGCTCCAGCCCAACCAGCTGTGGGATTCTCGGTCCAGGTTCCTCTTCTTCCCGATTTAACAGTTTCCAGTTCCTTGGTCAGGGACACTAGCAAGGACAGGCCCTGCACCGACTCCTCTGGTGACAGGGTATCTCTGGGGGAAAAGCAGGAGAAAAGGAATGCTGCAAAAGGCCAGGCAGACCAGTCTTACTCGTCAGAAATCCACAGGACACGGAATTCTGTGATGGGGAAAATATCATGAGGAACCATAAGGCGGGGATCAGATTTACTGTAAAGATTGAAACATTTTCACAGAGGTTGCATATTGGGGCCAATCTGTTTTAAGCTTCTATTATATGTCATCCTGTTTCAGTTTTCTGAACCACAAGCCCTGGAAAAAGGCATAAGATCTTGTGCTTGTCTTTCAGAGTCTCTTCCTGCCAAATTAAAAAGTCAGGATTAAAGTTATTCTACAAGTAAGTCATGGCCACCATCAATGGCTTAGGGGTCTGATGACCTCTTCGTGAAATTATCTCTAAAATGTTTTCCATTTCTACTCAGAGTTTCAATAGATGTCAATTTCTTTTTCTTCCCTCTATTCCATGGACTTTAAAATTTTAACTTTTTAGAGATTTGATGATTATACTGTATGTACATCTTACTCTGCTACCTTCAACAACTTTGGAAAGAAAAAACTTAATTTTACATTTCTGTCTGAAACCTAAAGTGGTTCTTACTAGGCCTCTGAGGGGACTCTCACTGACACCCCGAATCAGAGGCAGTTACAGAAGCAGCGAGTGTTCACTCTCAAAGCTGAACTTCACAGAGGTGATTTGCCTACTAATAGAGCCGTTTGTGCCATGAGATTCCTGCTCTCTGTACAAAAAACATCCTGAGTGGAAACACTGGACATGGCACAAATCAGCTGGGGACACAGTGAAGCCTGGTGGGGAGGCGAGGGAAGGACACGACAATGAGAGGATAGTTCTGTGCTCAGAGAGGTTGAGTCACTTTCCAAAGGCCACACAGCTCGTATCTGATGTGAGGCCTGTATCTTCCAAATGCTTTCATTATCTCTTACCCCTGAAGCTGCCGTGTGTTGGCTGCACAATAAGGGTGTCATATCTTCATATCTGACTTGCCTTACATATTAATATCGAACTCACTTTCTATAGCATGTGCCAGAGTTTCTCATTCTCAATTATTCTGCATCTTTTGAAACTAACCAGGCCCCCTGATAGGCATAAGAAAGAAACTAAAGCGGGAGGTGGAGGGGGAAAGACAAATCTGACATTGTCCTTGCAAGGGGGTCTGGAGAAGGGAAACAGGAGTCATTTGCATTTGTTTGTGTGTTTAATTGTGATAAAATACACATAACATCAAATTTACCCCCTCAGCTGTTTTTGTACAAACAGTTCAGTGTATTAAAGTACATCAGGTGGTGGTGCAACTGTCACCAGCATCCACCTCAAGGACGTGCGTTGTCCTGAAGGGAAGCTGTGCTCCCTCGCACACGGACTCCATGTGCTCCCTCCCCGGCCCCTGGCAACTGCATTCTACTGTGTCCCAACCATCTGCGGATATTGTGGACTCAGACAGTGTTTTTCTTTATGTGACTGGCTTAGCAAGTCACTTAGCACATTCGGTTGTGATGTATCACAGAGGCCACTGGTCCACAGCCTTGGGGTAAGAGGCTCAGATGGGAACCCGAGGGTGCCCCAAGTCCACACAGAGGGGGTATCGGGCCTGCTCCCGAAGCAGGAGCACCCCGGCCAGTCCCCGTCGCACTGCCCCAATGGGACACAGGCAGAGTAAAAGCACAATTATACTCCAATGCTCTTACCAGTTATTCTTTTATACAATCATTGTTTGTTTTAAAACTTAATCTCAAAGTAGCACTGTGGAAAAGGTATTTTATTTCTGTTTTTTTTTAATGAAAATTCTAGGCTTGGAGGAGTTTCTGTGCTAGTTGAATGTCACACAGCTAGCTACCAAGCGGCAGAACTAAAATTGAACCCAGGTCTCCTGACCCTGAGGCCTGTGTTCCTGTCCCCAGGCCACAGTGCCTCAGCTGCCCTGTCACATGGGGAGGAGGCTGCAAGCTGGTTTGCTGGCAGGCATGTTTCACCCCAGGAGAGTACCTGCTCCGAGCCTGTGACTATGGAGGTTCCATGTCTGCTCACCTAGTCTGTGCTCGGACCCCTCCCTCTGCAGTGCACGTCGAGGGCTCTTTCACTTACTTTTGCTTCAGGAGGCAGTCCTGACCCCCGGCTGCAGGGTGTCTTCTGGCGTGCACTTGCTCTAAAGCTCTGCAGCGAGCATGTGTGACAGCCCCATGGAATAATAATAGGCTTCTGTAAAATGGAAACTTAAATGACTTTTGCATTATTTCTTAGCTGTTGGTCCCGGGACTGTAGAGGCAGCCTGCTACTGACTCATGTGTCCTCTTCCCCGTCTGCACCTGCAAGAACAGTGGTTGAAGCTCGGGGACTGTCCTTCCCCTTTTCAGCTTCTTCTTCATCCCCGCTGGAGACCCAGGTTAGTGCCACAGGTTGCAGAACAATTGAGGTTGAGAAGCTCTGGCAGTCAAAGTGAAAACAGCTGGTTCCACATTATGGTGTAAGCCAGAGTGGGTTGAAACTCTACTATGCAACCAAGCTAAGGCACCGTTCAGGAGCAGAAGATGAAGCACAAGCATCTGCATTTTAAAAGATACAGACCTCAGTTCAGATGTGAGCTCCGCGGCTTTGAGTTAGTGACCGAATCTTTCTGAGTCACAGTTTTCTTAGATATAAAATAGCTACACATTTTTCTCTGATCCCCACAGAGGATATATTTATTGATTTGAGAGAGAGAAAGCGGGGGGTGGGGGGGAAGGAGAGAGAGAGGGAGAGAGAGGGAGAGAGAGAGATAAACGCTTGTTGGTTACCTCACACACTTGTTCTGAGTGGGGCTCTAACTGCAACTTTTGGTGCTCGGGACAATATCCAATCCACTGAGCACCTGGTGGCCAGGATGCCTTGCATGTTTGTAGTGAGGATTAAATATGCCTGGATCAGAAAAAATACTTCAAGGGAGTTTTATTCTCAAATCTTTTCGGAGGAACACTGAGCAGCCAGTAATTGTCATATTGTCCCTCATCTGGTGGAGAATATGTATTGGAGACGCTCGAGGCAGGGTGGGACTCAAGAGGGAGCAGAATGACAATTGTCGTCGAGGTTTGAGAAGGATGTTTCTGATTATTGAAGGACAGCTCTTTGATTTCTGTCATTCCAGGCCATCAGCTTCTGTGCTTTAAAACATGGTCACTTCGAGCAATGTGACTGAAATCACTTTCTTGGGATTTTCCCAGAACCCGGGCACGCAGAAGGTCATTTCTGTGATTTTTCTCCTCATGTACTTGGCCATCGTGCTGGGCAATGGCTTCATTGTGGTGACCATCATGGCCAGCAGAGGGCTCACCTCCCCGATGTATTTCTTCCTCGGCTACTTGTCCTTTGTGGAAATCTGTTACTGTTCCGTCACAGCCCCCAAGCTCATCCTTGACTCTTTTATGGAAAGGACAGTCATTTCCCTCAAGGGATGCATCACCCAGATATTTTTCCTCCATTTCTTTGGTGGCACCGAGATCTTCCTCCTGACAGTGATGGCCTATGATCGCTACGTGGCCATCTGCAAGCCCCTGCACTACACGAGCATCATGAACCGGCGTGTGTGCGGCCTCCTGGTGGGAGCAGCGTGGGGCGGGGGGCTGCTGCATTCTGTTGGGCAGACCTTCCTCATTTTCCAGCTGCCCTTCTGTGGCCCCAAGGTCCTTGACCACTACTTCTGTGATGTGCACCCCATGCTGAAGCTGGCCTGCTCCGACACCTTCCTCATTGGAGTGCTGATCATCACCAATGGCGGCTCCATTTCAGTGATCAGCTTCATGGTCCTGCTTGCTTCCTACGTGGTCATCCTGTGCTCCCTGAGGAGCCAGACCTCAGAAGGCCGGCGCAAGGCCCTGTCCACCTGCGCCTCTCACGTGGCAGTTTTAAGCCTGTTCTTCATTCCCTGTTCCTTTGTCTACATGAGGCCCTGTGTCACCCTCCCTGTAGACAAGATAGTCACCGTATTTTACACAGTGGTCACACCTCTCTTAAACCCCATCATCTATTCCTTCAGGAATGCAGAAGTGAAGAATGCCATGAGGAGACTGATGGACAGAAAGTGATTTGGGAAGAGAAATAGATAACTTAGGTAGGGCAAATGGGAGAATCAAAGGATGGAAAATTGGGGCACAGGATTCCCAGTTTGCTTCTACTTTTAACTGAGGGAGTGGCCCCAGGCCAGGCCAGTCACTTTCTTTCTTTAAGTTTCAGTCTTCTCATCTTTACGGGATTAGACAGGATCGAAGGGATTTCTAGGACAAAGTGTCAGAGTGGTCTTCTAATGCTGCACTTCCACATTTGACAGTGACCTTGAGGAAGATTGGCTGGTTTTGAGACAGTGAATTCTTCCAGAAACCAGAGCCTCTCAGGGAATAATGATGAAGAACGAGGTGGAACAAAGAGGAGCAACGGCCATATGCCTTTGTGTTTGAAAAGCCTGAACTTTTGGAGTCTGGGAAGTCTCTCAAATGCTTAGAAATTCTATTGACTTGACTCCCTGAGAATGTGCCTAGTGGGTTCTGGGCAGGCCGAGTGGACCTAGGAGGGATTAGTCATCAGAACAGAAGGCATTTCGACTTTTGAAGAGATTCACATTGGTTCATGCTCGCATTAGACTCAGGCTTTCAAGATTTTAAGTGATTTGAAAGTACTGGCCAATGATACTCACTTTGTAGGCACAAGTTTTATTTTCCATATAATATCAATATTTTGATGTCTAATAGTCTCTTCTTTCACACCTGTCTGTCATTCTTTCCCCCCTATTTTTTCTCCCTATACGTCTGGTTGTTTGGTCCATTGGTTTCCTCTGTGGTCAGCCTCTTAGTGTCTCGTGATTCTCAGCCATTCCAAGAAAACACCCGAGAACTGAAAACCCGCTCTCCCATGCCACCATATTGAATTCTTGCTCTCCATCCACCAGTGCTCTACTCCTTTCCGTTCCTCATTCTGGAGCTACGTTTGATTCAAGTGTGGGTTCAACTGTTCTTGGGTCCTCACTGCTTGTCCTATGGTATTTTAATCATCAGTTTTTGGGTCCTACTTTATGGAGCTACCATCACATGCCATAATAATGTAACCCCCAACCCTAACCCCAACACTAACCCTCACTCTCAGGAGATGGTTCCTCCCCTACCCCACATTTCCAGATTAATCACCTGAAAGCACTTCTCTGACTTTACTATTCCCCTCCTCAAAAAATCTTCCATGACTCCCTGTTGCCCTCTGAATCTACCACAGACTCCTACTGGACACACGCCACCCCCAAGGTATGGCCTTCCCTTTATGTTCTATTTTTATTTTCAGTGACACTCTGGTAGAGCACTGTCCTTCTTGAATATCTCCTTGTGTCTCCCACCTAAAACATCACCCCCATCTCTACCCGTTAACATCCCATCTGCTTTCTAATGCTCATCTGAAATTCTGGACCTTAGGAAGCTTCCATGATTGTCTTGTTTGGATATGTCCCTTTCCTTTTTTGAACTCCAACAAAACAGCAGGAATCCTTTAAGGTCTATACTATCTATATTGTAGTGCTTATTTTTACCCTCCATTAGACTGTCAGTCTTTTGAGATTATGGCCTGAATCAGACTGTTCTTTGTATCTGGTTCTGAGTGACATATAGTAAAACTCAATAAATATTGGGTCAATTCAATTTCTAGAAGTCATTATTGCTTCAGATGTAAGCTGGTGTTATGTCTCTATTTTCACCTCAACTATTAGGTAATGTACTGAATACAAACCAGTAATCATTCTTGATAGTGTTCCTGAGAATAATATTTATAAATAAATAAGGAACATGTATGTGTGTGTTTATTTTACTATTAATCAAGAGATTTCATATATTTTATATAGTTTGATCCTAAAACAGTCTGGTGAAGTGGGTATGAGGACCCTGTTTAACAGATGAGGAGACCAAATCTTCGGAAGGTCAGTGTCTTGATCGAGGTCTCATATTAACTTACAGGGCCTGAGTTCAAATCTACATGTGCCTGATTTCTAAGCCCCTGCTTTCTCTGTACTTTCCTCTGCTTTTCCGTGAAGATCCTCCAGAACATAAACACATCTGAGTCTCTGAATTCTAAATTCGAGGCTTGATAATTTCCCTATTTTCAGATATTTCCCTCTGAAATTACTTCAAAGTGAGTAAAAAGTTTAAAAAATACATAGCATGAACTCCTCGTGGGTGTTCCCAAGTGTTCCTGGGTCCACAGAAAACTAGGGCCCGAGATGCCAGATCTGCAACTGGAGGACAGGAAAGCAGGAAGGTATGCTGTTTCTGTGCGCTCAGCCTTCTCTTACATAGGTCAGCCTGGGCATTGCCTGCGAGAGATGCCTAATGCATGGAACCAAAACTCAATGTGTTGGCCCAGAGGAGATTTTTTTCCCCTAGTGACGTAATGTGGAAAATGGCAGCATTCTTGAGAATATCATTCATACCAGAAAATGGGAAGTAGGAGGAAAAAGACAAATATAAATGAACCATCTGCCAGTAAATTTCCTAAAATTAAATCTCAGGACAGTGCTCCCCTGTAGATGGGATAATGCTCACTTTGTAGCTGAGAAAACTGCAGATCAAAGACTGTTCCAAAGTCCTTGATGTGTTTTCTAGATCAGTGGTGTATGAACTGTGATTTAGAGTTCAGAATTCTTCAGGTGTCTCAGGGACTGGAGCAGGGGCAGCAGGAGAGGATAGGAGGCAGCCAATCAGGCACCTGCGGGACTTCAATCAAAACAACTGATTATCTCTTTTTGAAAATCTTCTTTATATAGATTTACATTGATAAGAGGTATTTAAATCCTGAAAAACATGTTTAAAAACCACTATAATATTCTATGCTTACACTTCTTTCTTGATTAGTTATATACAGGTGTGGCTTGGTATGACGTGTCAGACCTCAAGAAATGACCTCCATTCTGAGAAGGGAAAGAAGAGCCAAGCCCTTTTCTGAAGTTTAAGCCCAGAGAGTCAGGGCAAGAACTTCTTTAACGAGAGTAAGGGCTTCAGAAAAAGTGTCCTGTCTAATTGGGGTGAACTCCCTTGCACATGCAATGTGGACTCAGCCCCATCTGCAATTGCCTCACCTCTTAGATGATGCAACCATAGCATCTTTCTATTACAACCGCAGAATGTGCCAAGAGACTTGGAGCATTCAGTCTTCTTCATAATTTAAAAATATGTGTGACTTGAATAGCAGTAGAAGTTCTGTGCTTTGATCGTTCATGTGTGTGGTTAATGCCAAGAGAACTGGGTGAAAGTTGTATTATTCCTAAATTATTCTGAGGATTCTAGGTGTTGAGCTTTTTACCAGTCTGAGAAGTCATGTCCAGAGACTCCTTTGTGGGTCCCTCACTTCTTGTCTTTGCTCCGCATCCATATACAGTGACGTATCTGGGAAGCAGAGACATCAGATAGAGATATGGCTTCTCTTGGAAAAGCGTGAGAAGTCAGGTGTTGCAATGAAATGACTAATATACGTGGTTATCATGGTGTATCCTCTGGAAACGGTGGTGTCCTTGTGTGTGAAAACGTGCTCTGGTGAATTGTTCACAGTGTTAGACCTGGCACAGTCATAGCTGTCATAGACAGGGAATTAATGTCATATGGGCACTTGGGACTTATGATGACCCCTATTTTACGTGGGTTGCAGCTAAGACTCAGACAATTTTGCCTAAAATCAAAGAGCAGGTAGGTAGAGAGGGGATTTGATCTCACCATGAACTCTGGAAGGCAGGCTCTTTTTCTCCCCCAGCACTTGCTCCATCAGGGAATCCAACTCACATCTTCCTTTAGCATAGACTGCTCTTTAAAGATCTTTAGTGCACCTGAAAGTCACTTGATAATCCGTCTTTTATTCAATATAAAACCTGAGTAAGCAGTGTCCCCTGAGTGGTAGCTACAAAATGGGTAACACAGGCCCTGGAAGTGTGCGACTCTCCATGGCCCCATCCCCGTGTTGCGGAGTGGGACAGAGGGGGAGTGTGAGAATGTCCCCCAGCAGCCTGGGTACCTGCAGTGACTCCCAGGAGGCCCTGCCCCCTCCACAGGTGCTTGGATGTTAGTAAATGAATCTCTTTGAGGTCAAGTCTGTGCTCCTCTCTAACATGGGGGCCCTGGGGCGGTGAGTCTGCATGCGAGCTCTGGAAGAGCTCTTTCTCAGTTTGCTCAGCATTTTGGGTCTCGTGGATGCGAGTCCCGTTGGTTTTCAAAGCAGGTGTTTTGGGGGCAGGTGCAGGTCTTCAATGTTGGGGTGCCCCATGCGGGATACAAGCCCTCTCCTCCTTGGAGAAGCTCTAGGTGTGTGAGTTCCTCACCAATCATGTGGGTCTGGAGTGGGGTGTATGTCGTGATTGTGTCACTTTTCTGTATGTTTCCACGTGGCCTTCTTCTTGTTTGCTTGATGTGAAGGAGCTGCTTGGTTAGTTTTCAGGTCTTTTTTAGAGGAAAGTGTTCCATGTGTAGCTGTTGGTTCAGTGTGTCCATGAGAGGAGGCGAGCTCAGGACGGCTCTCTGCCCATCGTTGTGAATCATCTGTTTTTTCAATGTTGAAACCACATTGCATTGCTGGGATAGACCTGCTCCATCATATATATTATCCTTTGTGCACATTGCTGCATTTGATTTAGACATTTTATTAAGGATTTCTGCATCTATGTTCATGAAGAGTGTTTGTGGTTTTCTTTTTTTAAAGGATTTTTTTTTTGTTGGTCGGGGTGTGGTGGCAGTTACGCTGGTTTTATAAATAAGTTGGGAAGTTCTGTCTTCCATTTTTGAAAATGTGTCAGTTTGGTGTTATTTCTTCTTTAAGTGCTTGATGAAACCAACGAAACCATCTGGGCTTGAGGGCTTTGGTGTGTGTAATGTTTGTAAACTATACATTCAATTTGTTTAACAAAGACAGGGCTGTTCAGACTTTCTGTTTCATTTTGGGTCACTTATGTAAGTTGTATTTTTTTCTAGGACTTTACATTTTTCACCTAAGTTGTAGAATTTGATAATTTTAGACCCACAACTGACATTGATACTAAAATTTGAGGTTGTCTCATAAAAGCCTGGCTTTAGTCCAAGTTTTTCTGTTTTTGTTTTCCGTGGGATTGATTAATTTCTGTTATTTTTTCTTGTGTCTTTCCTTCTACTTTGTATTTAAATTTGCTCTTTTATTTTTATCTCTTAAGGTGAAAATTTAGTTCGTAGACTTTAGAACTTTCTTGATTTCCAATATAATTTAAAACTGTAGTTTCTTTAAACAATGCTTACACAGCATCACATAAAATTTCACATGTATTTTTATTATTATTATTCAGTTAAAATGTGCTCTGATGTTTAAAAATGATTTTTTTCTTTGACCAATGCCTTATTTACAAGTGTGTTGTTTATTTTCCAAATATTTGGGGTTTTGCCTTGGTATCTTATTGTTATTGATATCTAATTTAATTCATTATGGATAATGTCATTCTTTTTACATTTACCGAAACATAAGGTCTATCTTGGTGAAATGAATGTAGCATGTACGCTTGAAGGAATGTTCTTTAGTTTTAAAGTGCAGTGCAGATCAGATCTGTTTTTATTGATTTTTAAAACCTAATCATACCCTCACTTGCTGGGCATGGTGGTGGAGGTAACACTTCCAACTATTATTGTGAAATTGCATATTGATTTCTTTAAACCTGAGAAAGAAAAAAATCGCAGATGAGAAAATGGTATCCCAAGATGTTAAGCTATTTGTTAAAGGTTGTGTATCCTCCAGGCGGCAAAGTTAAGCTTTGTCCAAGCGAGCTTCACTGCCTCACACGTGTTTTTAAACGCCATGCCATACCGCCTCGTCTGCGTTCCGTCCTCACAGGTGGAAACACTTTTCGAAGTGCTATGTTAACATAGGGTGGTAGTTGAAGTGCTAGTTTAGCTCAAACTTGTCTCTGCTACTTAAAAAAGTAACATATTTGACACCAACTCCCCTCCCCCCGCAATAGATGGCATAAAATTATGCCTTTTATATAGTAGCTGCTTGGTAACTATTGTTGACTGAATGAGTTTGGGATGATTCAGCATAGAAACCCAAAGACGGGGTAAACACAGAAGCTTCTTTGTCCTCTAGTTTGTCTGAAGCAATAAGTTAATGTGACAAGAGGGTATGGCTGTCTCGGTGGCCCACTCCTTTAATTGGGACGTGATGTCTCTGGGGTCTAATTAGCTACACTCACAGAACTTTTGTGAACTATGAATGTGCTATGGCTTCCAATGTGCTATGGTTTTCACGTTTGGTGACGACCTTGGCTGGGGTGCATTCACATGAGCTCCCCTGAACCCTCTGTGCTTAAAAGTTTACTGCGACTCTTCTGTCCTCCGGCCAGACTCCCTGCCTTCCGCTGCTCAGCTGGGGAGCTTGGAGCTCGCTAAGGTGAATGCCCTTATAGTTTTGGTCTTCTGAGAACTCTCTGCCTAGAATAAGCCTGTAGCAATCAGGGACCCTTATGGAAAACAGATGTCCTTGCTTGCTTGCATTCTCTCTGTGCTGGGCTCCGTGCCCAGATGCAAGTCCTGCCGGACAGTATCTGAGTATTCTCAGGTTCTGCCTCCAACGCCTCAAGTGTGAGTTGATATATGGGGTTACAGTTGTGAGTATGTGAAACAGAGTTTATTCTTATATTATTATCTATTAATTATTGTATTATTTTCCACACGAAAACCTGTAAATCTCCTTTTGCCCACTCCGTATGTGTAATTTTTTTTTTCTCGGATTCCCATGGCATCACTACAATCCTCCTTCAGTCATTATCTTGGTCACAGGTTAGCTGAGGGGACCATGTCCTTCTGGGTGATCAGACACTCACACTTCCCTAGTCAGGAGAGTTGCTTAGTGACTAAGAAGGCAGCTTGGAAGACAGGTACGCTGGGTGGTGTTTCTTGTTCTAACCCTTACTGGTGTGAGAACTTGGCCAAGTCACTCATTTTGTCCTAATCCCCATTTCTTCTCAACTGAAAAATAGGAACGGTCATGCGAGCCCCTTCAGAGTGCTGTTCGGTGGCTTAAGTGAGATGATGCATTTCAAGTGCTCTCTGCAGGGCCTGACATACAGCATCGCTCAATGAAGGTGAGTAAATGCCGTGCTATGGTCACTCTTCCTGCTACTAGTGATGCTATTCAAGCTCGGAGAGTGTTTCCACACATTTTATTACTTAGAGGCTTGTGTGTGAATGCCCAGATCATGGCTGGGGGCTGCTGAGTTCCCCGGGCCTTTCCCCTGGACCGTCCTGTTGTGGGCATCGACACCACATTAACTTTTTGAAAATTAGCAGTTCCAGGGTGTATGTCACTGAAGTATGGCCATGGTACCCTTTCCCTAAAGCCCAGGTCCCCCTGGCAAGGCATTGTTGCATATATGTGAATTTAGGCAGCTTGAAAGACTCTTGAAAGACTTATTTACATTTTAATCTGTTAAGGTAGAAATGTTCCCAAGTTGCACTACAAATTTCATTTCACTCTCAAGACAGGGAAGGTATCTGAAAGCTGTTGAGAGAACAAATTCAGGGGGAGGGATGATAAAGGTAATACGAACCTCAGCCTCCCCAGTCCTCAGGCAAAGTGGAGAGAGGGATTAGTAATGATGTAAAACTACTCAGCTGCTTTCTTATTATTTAAAAATTCTTCAAGTATTGATTATCATTATCAGTGAAATTTACTTTTGTATTTCTACTTTTCCAGCCTAGAATCCAGCACTTAGTCCAGCTGTCGTTTTATAGAGATGGGGAAATAGGGCACCACACAGAGAGAGGGTGTTGTTTGAGGTCACTTAGTTACCAGTGACAAAGTTGGGGCTAAAATCCAACTTTTGGTTTCCAGACCAATGCCCTTTTGGTTTCCAGACCAATGCCCTTTTCGTGGTGCCATGCTGCGTGTTTGGGCATTTTCAAACAGTGTTAATCTCTCGGAAGTTTTTCAGTAATGGGAGTCTAGAGAAAGTAGGAGGGTGTAGCAAACGAACATCACAAGGGGAGAGGGTAGGAGCACACTATTGCAACAGGTAAAAGGGATTAGCAAATTAATGGAGCCCGAGGAGGGAGTCACTGGAGCTCCAATCTGTAGCAATTGGGTCAGAAGTACACAGGTGATAACCTGGGCTTGCAATTAACATTTGAAATGTGTGTGTGTAACGGGGTACAGAGCACAGATCCCTGATAATAGAGCAACACCCCCACAATCCTGCCACAGGATCGGATGTAGGGAGAGTGGATAGTACTGTGTTTAAGATACGCTGCATAACGAATGCAAGGTAATAGCCGTGCTGTCCTGAAGGGAAGATTTTTGGAAGCTGAAGAACTGTGCACTGACTGTGAGAATGTGCAGTGACTTGTGATATAGCCAGGGGGGTGGATGCCCACCCCGGGTGCCTGTGTGTCACTGGGAAGTTTTGCCCTGATTAAAGATGGCAGCTGAAAGGGAGTCAAAGACACTGGGAAACTGACACTGGGAAAATGGTGGACACTAATGTACTATAGGAAGGGCCAGATATGAGATTGCAAAGGAAGTTTAAAGCAAAGCATTTAAATTAGGGCAGCCTAAGGTCAGAGAAAAAGCCACGAGGTTGGGAGGTCTGCCTGGAAGTCTGCCTGGAGAGGATGGCAGCAGAGCTGATGGTGTTGTGTGGGACCCGCCTAGCCACCCACACTTGTGAGAAATGCTTGAAGCTGAACTGTGACTGGAAATGCTAAGCTGCAGACTTCTGCTTTTCTGAAAGATGGTACCTCTGACTGGCGTATTCTGAAGCTGGCCTGGTTTGGCAAAGGGAGGCAGGACTATGTGTTTTTGGGTGTTTTTAAAGGAAGTGGGACTTAATAGCAGACTTCTGCCATTATTCTAAGCCTGTATAGCTTTTCTTTTTCTTTTTTAAATTTTATTTTAATTGTTGTTCAAGTACAGTTTTCTGCCTTTTACCCCCATCCTAGCCCACCCCCAGCCCCTCCCCACCTCCCTCCCACTTCCAACTCCCCCCTTGTTATTGTCCATGTGTCCCTTATACTTGTTCCTGCATACCCTTCCCCCTTTCCCCTGAAATTCCCTCTCCTTTCCCCTCTGGTCCCTGTCAGCCTGTTCTCAATTTCAGTGTCTTTGGTTGTATTTTGCTTGCTTGTTTGTTTTGTTGATTAGGTTCCTGTTAAAGGCGAGATCATATGGTATTTGTTTTTCACCGCCTGGCTTATTTCGCTTAGCATAATGCTTTCCAGTTCCATCCGTGCTGTTGCAAAGGGTAGGAGCTTCTTTCTTTCTGCTGCATAGAATTCTATTGTTTAAATGTACCATAGTTTTCTGATCCATTCATTTACTGATGGGCACCTAGGTTGCTCCCAGCACTTGGCTATTGTAAATTGTGCTGCTATGAACATTGGGGTGCATAGATTCTTTTGGATTGGTGTTCCAGGGTCCTTAGGGTATAATTCTACCAGTAGAACTGCTGGGTCAAAAGGAAGATCTATTTTTAGTCTTCTGAGAAAATTCCATACTGTTTTCCATAGTGGTTGTGCCTGTTTGCAATCCACCAAAAGTGCACTAGGGTTCCCTTTTCTCCACAACCTCTCCAACACTTGTTGTTTGTTGCTTTGTTTATGATATAGCTTTTAAATAAACAACCCCTTTCCTTTTTCACCAAACTCTTGCCTTGGAAGTTATGCTTCCTGGGGGTGGGCAATCAAACCCCCTGGCTGTTACAGAGCACCATTGGCAGGGTTCTGTAATGTGTGTGTGGAGGTAGTGTCAGAAAGTGAGTTGAATTTAGGACTCGCAGCTGGTATCGGAGAATTGCTTGTAGGCATGGGGGAACACCTCTCCCCAGTTGAAACTGGGTATTAGGATCATTATTAGATCTGAGTACAGTTTTCTGAATCCTTGGTTTTGGGATATTTTCTTATATCACATAATTTTTGTGCTTGCAGAGCTAACCACTTTGCTGGTGTTCAGGCAGAGAATCCATGGGTACCAAGAACGTGACTGAGTTTGTGTTGTTCAGCCTTTTCCAGAGCAGAGAATTACAGCACGTGTGCTTCGTGGTCTTCTCCCTCTTCCATGTGTTCACTCTCCTGGGGAACCTTATGGTCATCATCACCATCAGTGCCAGCAAGACCCTGCATGCTCCTATGTACTTCTTCCTCAGCCATTTGTCTTTCGCTGACATGTGCTATCCATCCGCTACCATACCCAAGATGATTGCTAACACTTTTGTGGAGCGCAAGACCATCTCCTTCAATGGCTGCATAACCCAGCTCTTTTCTTCCCACTTCTTTGGCGGCACTGAGATCTTCCTTCTCATAGCCATGGCTTATGACCGTTATGTGGCTATCTTTAGGCCCCTGCACTACACAGCCATCATGGATCGACAGAAGTGTGGCCTGATGGCGGGGGCCTCCTGGGTGGCTGGCTTCTTGCATTCCATCCTGCAGACCCTCCTGACAGTGCAGCTGCCCTTTTGTGGGCCCAATGAGATCGACAACTTTTTCTGTGATGTTCATCCCCTGCTGAAGCTGGCCTGTGAAGACACCTCTGTCGTGGGGCTCATCGTGGTGGCCAACAGTGGCATGATCTCTTTAGTGTCCTTCATTATCCTTATTGCGTCCTATGTGGTCATCTTACTGAACATGAGAAGCTGGTCATCCGAGGGCCGCCGCAAAGCTCTGTCCACATGCGGCTCACACATCACTACTGTCTTTCTGGTCCTTGTGCCCCCCATGTTCATGTACATTCGTCCCTCTACCACCCTGGCTGTTGATAAACTTGTCATCCTCTTTAACATTGTCATGCCACCTTTGCTGAACCCTCTGATCTACACCCTGAGGAACAATGAGGTAAAAAATGCCATGAGGAAAGTGTTTAGGATCAAAGGGAGTTTGGAAGAGAAGTGACACCCTAGGGAATCGCACCCAGCCTGGAGCATGGGAGACTTCCCACTCTGTAGCATCCAACACAGGCTTTGTATCTGCAGTTTGATGTTTGTAACGACGACTCTCTTCTTAGCTCTTTTTTACAAATTAAATTTATTGGGGTGACATTGGTTAATAAGTTGATATAGGTTTCAAGTGTACATTTCTATGATACTTCGTCTATCTAGTGCATTGTGTGCCCACCATCCAAAGTCAAATCCTTTTCCGTCACTGTGCATTTTGAGCACCTCTGTAAACCTTTACTACTCCCACCCCCTTCTCTCTGGCAACTGCCATACTGTTGTCTGTGTCTATGAATTTTTTTTCTGCCTCCTAGCTCTTTTCATAATAATACTCCCATAGCTTTCCTCAATCCTTCATTCATTAAATATTTATTGAGTGTTTGCAATAAATGAGGTAGTAGGATACAAATAAAAATAAGATGTAATTTACCCTCCAGGGGGGTCACAATGCAGGAGGCTCATAGTGTGATAATTAAAAGCTCATTCAGGAAACATGTGAGAGCCTGTGAATGATGGAGTATTCAATTAGCTCACCCATACAATGGAGAATAGCACTAGCTAGTGGCTTTATGGCAGCTAACAGAGTGCTTGATGAAATTAACTGTCTCTTTTATGATATTCAAGACACTTAACCCTCATTCCTTCATTTCCTGTTCTCTCAGCAAGCAGATGAATTAATAAACGTGGAGAGGTTAAAGGGTTTACTTAAAGTCATAGAATAAGTCCAGAACAGAATAGGGACTAGAATCCAGGTTCCCTAAATCTGCCTTCAGGGCTCTTCCCTTTCAGGACTTGTTGACAGGATTGAATGAATGGACTCCGAGTAGTACGGCGGCCGGAGGGGGGGGGCGGGGGAGGGGAGGACTTTTTGAAGGTCAAGGATTGGTGGTGGCTGGGATGATGAAGAACGGAGCCAGGGAGAACGAGCTTTGGCACTGATCCCTTTTGCTGCTGAGCAGGGCCTGCCGCCCCATTCGTCCCCTCTGCTTTACTGTTTTTATCTAGAGGGAGCCCCTTTGTGCAAAATGAATTTAGAAGAGCAGGATGAGATGTCCTGCCTAATTAACCATTCATGGACCATTTCATCTGTTTGGGTCCCAATTTCCATTTTTACAAATGGAGACAGTAACAATACCAACTTCAGAAGGTCGCAGGAGGATCCACAGAGCTTTGTATAGTTCTGTATCAGTATTTTCAGAGGTGGCTGTTACCTCGGTGTCCTCGTAATGTCTTCTATTCTCTTTTCTTCTGTTGTGCACTCTGACCTTGCCCTTTCTCCTAAAACCCTGGTAACTACTGGATTGATTGTTCACTTCTCATGTTTACTGATCACCCCATGAAATAAGCATAATTATCAGGGGACATGTGCTTAAGGGTTGAGTGAGGATGGCAGTGTTGAAAAAAACTTGTTTTATCTGATGCCTAACAAACACAAATGCAAATGTCGATCTTGACTATGGGAATAATAGCAATAAAATGGCCATTGACATCTTGAAAAAAATATTCTCTGAAGTTTTTGTACACCAGCTTCATTAATCTGCATTGAATAAATCACCTTTTAAAAGTTCTTGCAAGAATGTGGGAACATGGATGGTTATTCAGGTTTGAAGATAAACGTGAGTAGGACAGGCTAAATTCTTATGTAAAGTCACATACAAGGACTGCAGATTGCTAGTTTAGTGCTCTTCCTACTGCAGCCTTCACACAGCATTTTAAACTGAAGTGATGGTGTTCCAGTTAACTTTGCTCAGCCTCTTTCCACCTCATGTGTAACAGAGAAGTTTAGAGTTAAAGGTCTTGACATCGTTTCAGCTCCTCTCTCAGAGTGGCTTAGATAAGTGGGACCTAAATGTCTTCCTTCAGGGCTGTCGGTGGAAAATCAGCCAGGTGGGTAACATTAGCCAAGGCACCTTGCTTATCTAGGGACCAGAATTCCTAGAGAAGAACCCTGTGCTCTGTCCCATGCTGGTTTTCCCAATCAGCACATCTTCTTGAGTAACAGTCTATTCCAGTGGAGTGGCTAACTTCATGCTGCATCAGAGGCACTACAGTGCATGTGAGGGCTTTCTGTCTAACTCTTTGTTCTAAGGCAGAATGAAGCCACACCACATTTTCTGATGTAATGGTAGATCATGTGACTGGAAGTAGTGTGCAATGTTTCTATGCAGACATAGGATATTGGGCAGGTCAGTTGCTCTCTTTGAGTCTTACCATTCATTTGTAAACAAGGTAGCTGGGTTTAAGATTTTTTTTTTGGAAAGGAGGATGGGGCAATGAAATAAATCTATTCATTTAAAAATTACAAAGTATATATAATATACAATTTGTGATTTTGAAGTCCTTTACAATTTTGTCATTATGTGAAGTACCATTGGGAATTACCAAGTGGGAGCCTGTAATTGCAATGGAGGTTCCATTACTTCATTGTGAGATCAGTCACACTGGCAAACAAAGATCTCTCTTGTATTTTCTCTGGCCACTGTCTGCGTTCTGTCATTATTCTCTGGTGCAGAGTCAGCAGGTTAGCTGATATAGAGTCTACACACTCAAATGTTGCCTTAGGCTTTCCCATGCTTCTTCCCGTGATCTTGGGGAGAGGAGGCATTGCTTACCGTTTCCCTGGGTCAGCTGTGACAGTGCTCTTGGAGGGCCACTCTTTGAGTTCAGGATCTCTCAGTAGTTTGAGCAGTGGGACAAAAGGTGTGAAAATTATAGTGAAATTATGGGGACATGCTATTAAGTTAAATTCTCTCCAGAGTGTCTGGTCATTTGTCACATAAACATGTTATGGAAGCTGCAAGACTTGAGAGAGAATCTGGTCTGAGTGAACTGAAGACTGGTATTATGGAGTGAAGAAAACAGTACAGAGAACCTTTTGAAAGGGAAGGATGACCAGCAGGAAGGTGATTCCCTGATGCAGAAATGAAGGATACAAGGAATTTAGCAGCTGAAGCGTCTCAAGAGGATTCCTCAATAAGAGAGACCTATCAAGTGCATTGATGATAAAAATATGGGCTATGAACTTCAACGGCTGTTCAAACTCAGAATATGTTGTCATGTAGAAAGAATACTGCCTGAAGTCAGAAAGTCTGGTTCTGAGACCCAGAATTCACTACTTTCTATGTGATCCTGGGGCACTGACCATTTTTCTGGGCCTTAATTGTACACTATAAAAACTGTTGTGAGGTTGCTAGTGTTTAACACTGAATGAGTACATATTGGCTAAATGAATGATACAATGGTAAATGTATTGTGAAGTAGTTTACACTGTCCAATCTGCTAGAAACACATTGAACTGGTGTTATATCAGTGTTTGTTTATTGCAGGTCTCTCAGTAGCTGAGGTCCAGCACACCAGAATGGCTTTTATGCTGAGCACAAATAATGTGACTGAATTATCACAGGTCTTTTCTGGGATCCAGAGGTGCTTTGTGGTGTTTCTTCCCAGGTACCTGGCCACAGTGGTTGGAAATGGCCTTGTTGTGACGGTCAACATCAGTAGGAGTCAGCATTCCCCCATGCACTTCTTCCTTAGCTGCCTGTCTTTGTTGGAGATTAGTTACTCCTCTACTGTTGTCCCTAAATTCATCACAGACAAGATGCCAAGATTAAAACTCTCTCCTTGGAGGGCTCTTTGGTTTAGAGTTTCTTCCACTTTTTTGGAGTTGCTGAGATTTTCCTGCTGACGGTAGTGGCCTATATCTGCTAAATGGCCATCTGCAAACCCCTTCACTATATGGCCATCAGGAACTGACCTGTGTCATCTTCCAGTGGCTGGTTCCAGGCTAAGGGGCATAATTCACTCCATGGCCCAGATCCTTGTTGCTGTCCAGTTGCCCTTCTGTGGTCCCAATGTGATTGCCACTACTTCTGTGGCATCCATCCCTTATTCAGGCTTGCCTGCACTCACACCTCTGTGGAAGGGGTTATTGTGTTCACTAAGAGTTTATTAATCTCTGTCTTCTCCTTCCTCCTCTTGGTGTCCTCCTATATCATCATCTTGGTCCACTTGGGGAACCACTCTGCAGAGGGGAGACACAAAGCCCTGTCCACCTGTTCCTCTTACATCACAGTGGTCCTCTTGTTCCCTGGACATGCCTCCTTCCTGTATGTGTGACTCTCCTCCACCTTCCTTAAGGGCAAACTGGTGGTGTATTTCACATAGCCGTCACCTCAGTGCTAAACCCCTTCATCTGCACAGTTAGGAATGTGGAGGTAAAAATCTCCAGAAGGAGGTTATGGGGCAAGAAAGTGAATTCAGGGGTGAAAAACAAATGAAAGCATGAAAAAAATTAGCAAGAACAGCATGACCAAATGTGCATTCTAATTTTGGTCAACTAGAAGGAATAGTGCAAAAGTTAACCTATTCATATTATTTGTTGTATTTTAGATGAGTCCTTCTATAGCTGTCTGTAATTTGGAGGATGTTGAAAATTGAGCTACTTTCCCTCTTTTCTTCAGTGCCTCCTAGTGCAAAGTGCAGACCGCAGGGTGGGATTACCTGGACCGGAAACTCACCCAGTCATCTTCTACTTGTGGCACCTCAGGTTCACTCATTTCACCTCTTGGTGCTTGCAGGCTGTGGTACGTGGAAAGATGGTGGCACTCAGAGATTCAAGTTTATGTGTTGCTTTTTCCCTCCCTCTCAATGTCAGCATGTGGGAGTCCCAGGAAAGCTTTTCCACCTAATTTGCTATCTGGGCATTTCTGGTAGGAAGGCAATCGCTCCATCTCAGCCTGAGGGAGATAGCTTATGCAGCAAATCAATTTTAATATACCAGTTGGAGTACATTATGTGTTACTGAACTAGATAGGGATATACAATGAATGCATTTAGAAGTTTTGAAAAGGTATAACACTGTAGGTGTGTGTGTTTTATAATGGACAAGAAACCAACTGTTCAGAAACATACCACTTTACTATGAACTCTCATTTTCACCCAAGCACAAGGAGCTTGATT